TTTGTGGGATAGAAGGGCATAAAGGTTGCGATTTAGTGGTATTTTGGTAACAAAATTGCTCAGTTGGGGGATGAAGTGTGATGAATTTGTTGCATTGAAATGAGAAATAGGGATGAGGGGAGAATTAAAAGATTGGGTTTTCTTTTGCCATCTCTTTGATCAGCACCAAACCAGAATGAGTTAAATATTGAACTTGGTGGATTTGAGAAATTATTAGCATGTTTTACAATGCTGTGGTCTATGGAGTGGGGGAAAAGAAAAATGAGGAGTTGTAGGAAAACAGGAAATAAATGAGAGGGGAAAATGTGGCCTCAATTTAATATTTTTGGATATATTTTAATATGATTTAATATTTTTGGATATATTTTAATATGATTTAATATTTTTTAATATATTTTTTTAAAATGGATCAAAATATATCATTATCTCAACAAATATCAACAAATGATAATATTACAATAATTTTGAAAATATTATTAAATAGATTATTTTGAAAATATTAAATAGATCATTTGGAAAATATTAAATAATTTTGAAGTGTATCTAAAAATATGAAATCATTTGAAAATATTATCCAAAAATATTAAATCGGGTCTTATGTGGGAAGCAAAATATTATATTATCACTAGTAGGGTTGATCACAAAATATTAATTGTCAGGGTTTTAAAGTGAATTTTAGACCAACAGCTGAACTGACAATATAGCTGGCTCAGTTACTTTTTGCAATTTGGTTACTCCGGCCTCAAATTTCAAAATGCATTCTGAATTCAATTTAAATTGTCAGCAATTTGCACTTTATGAATAACTTGTGTGAGTGATGCAAATCAGGGTGTATCCTTTACATGATGTACTTTATGTCCCATATGGAAATGTGACATGAAAGTACACTGCGTTTTGCATTCCTCTGACAAATTTACAGTTTAATATGTAATGTATTTAATGCTACGAATTCTGAGATCCCATCATGGAATTTTTGACATAGGTTGTATTCTTCGAAATGATCGAGAATCTTATTAATCCCTTTCACCTCTGTCTCTAAAGCTTCTCCTGGCCTATTTCCTAACTTTACACCATCATAATAATGTTGATGGCGCCCCAAAGCTATTGAGCCCTTGCGTGGCTGCCAGTATCCCCAACCATTCTCACAAATTAAGAAAGAAAACATAAGTTAATGGATGTGTGTATTGGTCTATTTGAAGATGGTTTTCAGTAAGATTATTTGTTGTCAGTGATACAGAGAATATAACATTCTTAACAATGGGAGTGCATTTTCAACTTATATCTCCACCTTGCAGTGATCAGATCTGAGGAAGCCCACTGATCCACGTGAAAGAAGTATCGGAGTGACATATTGAGTATGGAGTAGGGAGCAAGCTATACAACAAAGACCTGCACACTAGTGGCTCTGCTATATGTGAGTTCTACCAGTAAGAGGTTTTCTAAGGGAGTTTTTCTTGATTTTAGTTATCGGCACTATTGTGCGTTACTGATTTATTTTATGATTAACTATGACGAGATATGGTACTGTATGATATCATAAATGGTGTAAAATGATGATTTAAAGGTGAAGTAACTTCAATTTCCATTTGTACATCCATTACCTAAAAAAACTCCTATATACAAGATTCCTTGAATATGAATAAGGACAGATTTTTTTTTCAGATATTTTTGTTAGCTGATTAATTAGTTTCTTTGTGAGAACAAAGATTTCCCATGTCCTACATGAAATCATTCATGGATCTCGATAGACATTAATAATTAGAGTAAAGGAAAACCAGCACGTTAATAGGGAAGGGATGAAATTCGTTAATGTGTATGTGTTCTCTATTGGTCTTGCACTTTGATTCCTCTGACAACACCCAGGGTGTTACTCTGATAAGTGGTTTTCTTCGGAGAGGTAAACAAGTGATAACATAATAATGTTCCAAGAACGCAGGTCTTGGCCTGGTCTGAGATTAGGACACATTGTAATTAGGCTGTCACATTTAACATACTACATACCTAGATGGTAGGCTTTGAAAAACGTAGCTTGGATTCCGATTAATGTACATGAAGCCACAAAAAGCCAAAATAAACGGATTAAGACACTCTGGTGCTACTTAGTGAATTTTGATACTGTATATCAGAGGACATGATCATAACTACATTTTAGGGGCAAGAATTTGGTGGTTATATAAAGAGAGGATTGGAGGTATTATTCTAAGAATTATTCTATTTAAATGGTGTTTTATTTTATGTTAATATTATATAATAATAATAATAATAATAATAATAATAATAATAATAATAATAATAATAATATACCTCCCGCTGCTCTGTGATTTACTGGTAGCTACACCAACTACAACCAATGATATGCTCAATTTAGTAACTGAAAGACACCCTCGCTCATACGAGGTCAGAGAGGAAGGCATGAAACGACTCTTGGTAATTCTTAAATGGTCACTATAAGCATCATAACTACTATAGCTCATTGTAGTGGTTATGGTCATTTCACTCTATTACCAGGACTCTTGTTTTTTTTGACAAAGCACTAGTGGAACACACTACCCATTCTTATCATTCAAACTAGCCCGTGGCTGCAGACCGCTTTCAAAAGTATGTGTAACTGTGTATAACAGCAGAGGATGAATCGCATGAAAATACAACATCAGAAACCTTACCTAATTTTCATTTCTGATTAAATGTTCGCCCTCACATGCAATAGTGCTAAAGTCACCAATTACAGACTTCCATTTCCAGCCCAGTCTCAATGCAATTTTTCCTGATATTCCGATTAGCAGACTTCATATTAATTGGCATACCTGCGAAGATTCTATTCTATGATTGATACAAGTAGACACAGAATAATGTGAGTCATGCCAACATCAATTGGCACCGAACATACTGGCACTGGGTAAAAGAAAAACTGAAAATAAAGAAATATGTGACTTTATAATATTCATTTTCTTGGTTATGATTTTTTATACATATTTAAGTGTTCCTTTCCCTTTAAAACAAAAGTACTCTGCAGCAGGGGCCACAAATTAGAGTGGGAGGAGGCTAGGATAATGACGGGGGAGAATTTAGGGTTAAGAGAAGCAGAAGCAATTGCGGCAAAAGTTGCTGCTTTAAGAACATAGTTATGGAGATACTGCAATATTGTGATCAATATGCGCCCAGGCAACCCCCTTATACAATCGTCCACACTGCCCAAAATTTAGGTCCCTACTTGCTCTTATGTAAAAGTTCTAGTATTTATAGCTCAAAATCGGATTGAAGATGCAGATTATCATTTATCTTCAAACGTCATGCTCAGTACTAGTTCAGAAAAGTTTAATTTTTGAAGTTTGCATTAGGAGTGTTCAGTAGATAATAAAAAATAAAAAAATACCTGATTATTAGCTTATTTGATGAAATGACCCCTATGATGTTCGTTTTCGATAAATAATGAAATGTGCTGCACAAAGCTACTTTGTCTTCACTCGTTAATTTTCCATTGTCCATATTTCATCAAAGAGCAATACTTTTGTATGTCTGGACAGTTATATACAGATCATTCTATACAATGTATGCAGGGTGTGGAGTCAAGGGTTAAAATAAACCTGTACAGTTTCTGTAGTATTTTGTTACCATGGCAGTTTGAAACACAATGGAATAAACTGGCGTTCCCTGCTATTTCATCACAGCCCTTCTCTCCAGCGTTCTACCTGCTGTGCTGTAGATGCTTAGATGTTTCTGTGCCTGTGTGAGAATGTAACAGTTGGGCATTAGGGGGCAGTGTTTTTACAGGGCTGGCTCTTCAATCCCATCAAGAAATCTATTGAATCCTCAGATGAGCCAAGAGATCATTGTATCACCTTTTTTCAAGCTACCTCAAGTGGGCTCTTTTCTTTAAGACGCCAATGTATTAACCCAATGACTGCCATATCGTGTCACATTTGTAGTGTTTGGCATTTGATAATATACACCGGTTGTTGTTTTTTTGTTTGGGGGGGCATTATTTGATACATTTGTACAGCGCTGTTGAACATGTTGGTGCTTTATAAATGCCAGTAATAAATAAATAAAATTGTTTTATACAATGCTAAATACAATGTGGACACTGGTAGATAATCCAATGCCACCCGATGATGATCCAGGAGAAACTAACGCATTACATATAAAGTTGGCTTCCCTGAGTTCGCTTGAGTTCCCCTTTGAGTTAATTGTAGAACTGAAACCCTCCGGAGGTTCCATTTTCATTCTCGGTGAGCTCTTATGACACAGGAGGAGCTATGTGGGACTTGACGTAGAGAAGATTCACAGGGTTTATTTACTAATATAAATATATATTTATTTTTTAAAAAAATTGGGATAATGACATACAAGGAACAGTAAACAGTAACAATAGTATGCAAATAAAGTTGAATAACTACCAGTAGAATTCAATGGATATGAATTACATTGACCAAGCTTGTAACTAGTAATAGGGCAAAAAGTCTCAACTAAATAAGTAAACAATTTAAAAAAGTATTAAATCATTAATTAAATCTAATCAAAATTGTAGTGTTTTAAAGTGTAATGTCTTCTGATAAACCAAAGAAGAAAAAACTATTGTTTTTATATGTTTGGTAACTGAACCTTTTGAGTATAAAAACATAGATTTTTTAGTAAAGTATTATTAAATACTATTACTTTTCAATCTCGAGGAAATTGCTGTAGTGGTTATGGTACCAGGTGTGCCCTCAAAATAAGTAGTCAAACCATTAGCAAACAGTTTGACAACTTTCCAGGGCCCTGCCGGCTACCAGTCATCTTTATTAAAACTGGAAGACCTCTGCATTGAGCTAAGCCCGGTGATGCAAGTCTTAGCTGATTGGCTGAGAATGACCAGCTAATGATCTCATCCAATGAGCTTAACCTGCACAGCAATGCTTAGGTCAGGAAAGTTAATAGAAGCTCTCCATTGAGGAAGTGACCAAATACCAGGTAAGAAGCCAAATTATTGCCAAAGGGATTGACTGCTTGCATTAGGATGGAGCCTGATCACTTGTGGCACCATAACCACTACAGCATGCTGTAGTGGTGATGGTGCTGTGAGTGTTCCTTTAAATGTGACTGCAAAATACAAACTGTTAAACCTAGATAATTTTCATGTTACAGATTTTTCTGGCACAAGGTTTTTAAATGAGCTGCATGCTTAGAATAAACTGTACTCTGTTGTTTGTTACTAGGCTCCATATGTTATTTCTTTGTATGTAAAGTGCTTTACCAGGAACTTGTTCTCAGCTACGAGTATCATAGATAACAAGAGCAATAATGATTTGAAGAATCTTACCAGGAAGGACACAATTAGTTTTTACTGATTTTCCAATATGTCACATTACAGAAATGTTGTTATAGACTGATTACAAAACGACACATTAAGAACAAACATGTGAAAACAAACATTTGTTGTTATTATAGATACATGTTGAAATGGATACGTTATCAGTGTTTTTAAACTGGCTGACTATTTGATGTTTATGAAAGGTTTATTTTACAATTGTAGATGTCTTCAGGAGAGAGCTCCTCGGACAGTGGGTGTTACACAGAAATGTGCTAAAATTGGTTCCCCATAGTGATCAGTTCCTGTGACCCTCATGTATGAGACCACAGTGGGCTGCTCAGTGAGGTCTTATACGGTAAGTAGACATGGGAGATCAACAGTTAAGACATTAAAATATAAGCACACTATAGCAATAGGAATTTAAATGTTAGCCTATTGCCTACCTTTTATTTGCTGTGCTCTCTGTGGCTGGCCCCGCCTCTTTGGCTGAGATAATCAATCTTGATGATCTCAGTCAATCCAATGCTTTCCCACAGAATATCATTGAGCATCTAGTGTGCCAATCTTTATGAGACCGTCCAATCGAAATAGCCTAGTTTCACTCTGCTATTTTTGTAAAAGCGCTTCTAGAGGCATTTAAACCCTGCAATCAATACATTAAGATCAGAGATAATCAGGAAATCAGACAAGTAACAGAATTTAATACAACACTCGTAGCTCAGAGCCCAGGCAGTGTCCCTCATAGTATATGTTAAGAACTGGTTGGAGGTCACACATATAGTGTGGTTTATGGGTTATAGCAGGTGTGAGAAGCTGAAAAAAGCTTGTTGAAAAGGTAAAGTGGGTTGCTGGTGGTGTGGAGAGCAAGAGAAAGCTTAATATTTGCGTAGTGCAGGAGGCTTGTGTTATTATTATTATTATGATATTTATTATTATAAGGGGTGACGGCAGCTGTAGAGAGTGTTTTAGTTCATCTAGTGACTTTATATACTGCTATGGAAGGTTATGGTTTTTGAGATGTAAACAGCTGGAGAGAAATGCCGCTCAGATAATGTGTGTTATAGAAATTGTGAGAGGCTTGAATTAACTTTTTGCTCAGATTTTCTGGCTTATAGAAGGTGGGGGGAGATTAGGAATGCACACACGCAAGGGGAGATGTAATAGAGCTATATTGCCCATGCTGTTCAGGTAGTGTGTGTTGCAGGAGGCTTGGCGTGGAGGCTTCTCAGGAGGAGCAGAGAGCATACTGTTCAGATAGCGAACAGAGTATTTTCAGAAAAGTGGTTATCAACCAGCAGAAAGACTGTGGGTGCATCTGCTTCTCAGCATTAACATGTTTAGTTATTTTAACACATAATAATAGTTATTCTTTTTGCTGGGCAGTCTTGCACATTTCTTGCAAAAATGTTTTAGCTAGGCTTTCTATACCTCCATTCACCAAGGCTGAATTTAAGTTGTAGAGCAGAGGGACGTCAGCAGCAATGAATTATAGCAGAGCTGTCTTCCTTAGTCCTTCAGGGCCAGGATCCTGCCTGGCTTTTAGGATTGGACTCGTTCACATGCCAATTAAATGTGTGTTAGTGTGGAAAGCTGGTGGGCCCATGCCCCTCGAGGCCCAGTATTAGACAGCCATGAATTATAGCATCTGACTGAAAAACCTGTATTCTAGAAGAGGTGTTCTTCAAGTCTTGCCCAGTGCTGACCCTTGAGGACTAGAGATGTGCATGCTATGCTCTGGAACACAAACAGACACTGTGAAGAACCAGGTACCAGGAAGTGGACAACATGGAGTGACCTTGCATCTTGGAATCACAAACTGCTCGAGAGAATTTTTTTTTTTTTGAGCAGAAACATGTCCAGCACTATTCTAGAGTGTCAGCTAGTAGGTCTTTAAGACAGTTCCTAATAACAGTACTGGTTACATCAATTAAACTCTGATAATGGGTTCTCCTTACCAGGCTACTCTCCAAGCTTAATTGCTCAGCAGCACTATTCTAGAGTGTCAGCTAGTAGGTCTTTAAGACAGTTCCTAATAACAGTACTGGTTACATCAATTAAACTCTGATAATGGGTTCTCCTTACCAGGCTACTCTCCAAGCTTAATTGCTCAGCATGGAAAATGTTAAATAAAAAGAAATAAAATATAAATAGTGCCTGAGTTGTGCTAATTGCTAAACTGTTTCATTGCTGCCTTCCCTGCTGTGTGAATGATTAATGTATACTGGATACAAGGAATATGACGTGTAAAAACATATTTAAAAATCGTTTTATTCTCCCACCTGTCGATCAATTCTTCGCCGTAGACTTTATGCCCAAGAATTGATTGACAGGCAGAACAGTAGGGACCTCCCACAGGCAGTCTTTTTGCTCTCTCCATATAGCAACCATAGCACATGCTTTGTGGTTACTATGTTAACTCCGTAGACGAGGCTGGGGAGTATCGGAGCGCTTTTCACTCTGTTCTGATGACGAAATGCTGGCAACAAAGTCAGGGTGTCGGCATCATGGAAGTGGTTAACCTTACTTGGGGAAGCATCCTAAAGCAGGAGAACTCTGTGAACTCCAGGCGGCCCAGGGGTGGGTGTTACAGAAATGTCACATACGGAAAGCGGAGAATCAGGTGAGTGTCTGACAGCTTCAATTTAAGATATTTATAGTTGTTTTTTCCTTCAATTTTACCTTGACCCTGGCGGGTCCTCTGAGTTCTCTATGCTTTGTTAAAAATATTTTTTATGTAATTTTTTTTAATATCTAAATTCTAAACAAGACAATCAGGGGTAAAGTGAGAATTCAAAGTGAATTTCAAATTTAAGGCTAAAGTAGTTACTGGAAGCATAGCTTAATTTTATAGTTTTTACAATTCAGCTACTTTGGACTTACATTTGAAATTCGCTATGAAATCTCACTTAAGTAAATAACCCTGAATGCCCATAATGTTTATATGTGATGTCTCCACCTCTTCACCAGATATTTGATTCAGATTCATGGAAAATTCCAGTGCTCTCCTTGTATATTTTAATTCCACTACCAGTGTTTAGAAGTCCTGTTTGAACGGTAACTTGCACTAAGGTGCCAATGTATTTTGGCATGGGTTTTATATGCCTCAGTCTGCGTTGATAACCAAGTCTAATAGCCCAATAAATAAGAGAGAGAAAAAAAAATTATTGTTTACTCAGTATCTAGAAAGATGTAATCCTTATTAATGACTTGATCAAAGGTCAGTGCTGTGCACCCCTCCTGTTTTTTTTTTTTTTTATACCCGAGCAAATAATCTGCTTAGAAAACAGGGACTTTAGTGTTCATTGTCTGTAGCAGCGGTGCCCAAAACGTAGATGCCAAGATGTTGTAGAACACTGCAACTCCCATGATACTTTACATAGCTCTAGAATGCCTTCAGGATGGCAAAGCATCATGGAAGCTGTAGTTTTAAAACATCTGGGGATTTACCTTTTGGGCCCCCCTAGTCTATAGTATTCAATTGATTATGGAATAAACCTGCATTCTGGTACGCGACGCTCTTTTGCATGATATACAGGGCTCTTCACTAATGTGAGAATTAAAGGGACACTATAGTCACCAGAACAACTACAGCTTATTGAATTTGTTCTGGTGAGTAGAATCATTACCTTCAGGCTTTTTGCTGTAAACACTGTATTTTCAGAGAAAATGCAGTGTTTAATTACAGCCTAGTGATAACTTCACTGGCCACTCCTCAGATGGCTGTTAGAGATCCTTCCTGGATCATGGCTGCCTAAAATGTATCCAAACATTCAGTATCTCCTCCCTCTGCATGCAGACACTGAACTTTCCTCATAAAGATTCATTGATTCAATTCATCTCTATGAGGACATGCTGATTGACCATGGCTGTGTTTGAACTGTGCTGGCTCTGCCCCGATCTGCCTCTTTGTCAGTTTCAGCCAATCCTATGGTGAAGCATTGTGATTGGATCAGGCTACCACTTCTGATGATGTCAGCAGGCAGTGGGCAGGTCTAAAGGAAAGAGAGACACAATAAGCAGCTGCAGACTTTAATACAAGTAATATTTACTATATTTAGGGAGGCATGAGGGGACCAGGGTGGCTAGATGGTGGTTTTAACCCTATAGGGTTTAAACCCTATAGGGTCAGGAATACATGTTTGTGTTTCTGACCCTATAGTGCTACTTTAAAGGTGATTTCAAAATGTATTTCAAATTTAGGGTCAAAGTAATCGCTCTTGAAAAATAAGTCAGCTATGCTTTCAGTTTAGCTACTATGGTCTTCAATTTGAAATTCACTTTGAATTCTCACTTTTGTAAATAACCTATCCATGCATATAATCCAAATAGAGATATAATCCCAATAGGCTAGCTGTACCAGAACCCTTTACATGGAGAAGAAAGACCATTTGTGATTGTTCTATGAGTCCATTGTTAAAGTGACACTCCACTGGCAAAATGTAAAATTTAAACAAAATCAATATTTAGTAGATATACACCTATGGAAACTTGCATGTATTTACATAGCTACATAGTTACATAGCTGAAAAGAGACTTTCGTCCATCAAGTTCAGCCTTCCTCACATTTGTTTTTTGCTGTTGATCCAAAAGAAGGCAAAAAAACCCAGTTTGAAGCACTTCTAATTTTGCAACAAACTAGGAAAAAAAGTCCTTCTTGACCCCAGAATGGCAGTCAGATTAATCCTTGGATCAAGCAACAATTACCCTACATTGAAAAATTATATCTTTGAATAATTTGTTTTTGCAAGTATGTATCTAGTTGCTGTTTGAACATCTGTATGG